TCTAAACTTAAGTAAAATTATTTTTTCATTTCGTATAGGGAATTTAAAAAATATGAAACTCACTTGATTTTATGTATTTTAAGAAAATTATAAAAATTGAAACATGAAGGTCACTTGAACACTAAGTTCTTTAAAAAAATTATAAAATCAAATATAAAATATAAAATCAACAGAATGTCAATATTAATAATGATGAATTAATAATTGAGATTATGGACAATATTAATATAATATATAAAATTAAATTTTTGTTAATTTAATTATTCAATAAAATTATCAATTAAATATAAATAAAGTAAACTAATGTATTTGATAATTTGATGTTTTTAAAAGAAGAAGGAAATTTGGTTCTTTGAATTTTTAGAAAAGAAACAAATGGGAATTTTGGTTGTTTTGATTTGTGGGAAGAGAAAGAAGTGGGAAAGTTTGGTTCTTTTGATTATGAAAGAGAAATAAGGAGAGAAATTTTGAGTTTTCAACTTTTTGTGGAAGAAAAAAAGGAGGAGGGAAATTTGGTTCTTTCAATTTTATGGAAGAGAAAGATGAGGGAAAATTGAGTGTTTCTAATTTATGGAAGGAGAAAGAATGAGGGAAATTTTAGTAATTTTTTTGTGAAAAGAAAGAAGGAAACAAATTTTGGTATTTTCAATTTTTTTGGCTTTTCAAAATTTTATCCAAATATGAATCTTTAATTTTTATATGGAGGGCATGACTAGCCAAATTTATTCTTATATGCTTTGAAGATTAATATATATGTATATAATTGTTTATAGGCTAATAAATAAATTAACTGTTAGTTACAACAATTATACTAAACTTGATAAGTAATCTTTGACGGTTCGTTGTTTAGGGTATAAAGTATATGGTTAGGGTATAAGGTACAGATGGTTTAGGGTGTATATGGTTAGGGCATAAGATATTGATGGTTTTGACGGTTCTAAGTTTTTTATTAACATATGTTCACTTGAAGTCATTTGAAGTCTTTAACGGCAGGAGATCCCTTTTTAATTTATGTTTATGGTACGTGGTTAGGGTACAAGCCATGTGGTGTAGAGTATATGATATATGGTTAGAGTATAGCAATTAGCAAATATCACTTTTTATCTATGTTTTGAAAATCAAAGTATGAATTTCACTTTTAAATTAACTATACTAGCAAAATCACAACTCATAAGGACATATGGTTAGTGTATAGGGTATGTGGTTAGTGTATAATGTATTGATGGTTTAGGGTATACAATCAACAACATATACTAACTTAATATTGTCGATTGAGGGTAAAGCTAAGTGTATAGGATATACGTTATTGAGTAAGTTATGATTGAAGTCACAATAATTTTACTAAGTAAAATTTGGTTAGGGTATTGATGGCCTTTAACGGCAGGAGATCCTTTTTAATTCATGTTTATGATACGTGGTCAGGGTATAGTGTATATGGTATAGAGTATAGGACATATGGTTAGGGTATAGCGAATAGGGATGCAAATGAGTCAAGTCACTCACGAGCGGCTCAACGCTCGGCCCGAGAAAAATCTGTTCGATACTCGACTCGTTGCCTAATGAGTTGGCTCATTAGCTTGTTCGTTTACTAATGAGTCGAGTCTGAGCCAAGTCTAGTTGTGCTCATTAAACTCGCGAGCTAACTCGACTTGATGGCTCATTGACCCTAACTCGCGAGCTAGCTCGGTTAACGCTCGCGTGCCAGCTCGATAATGTGGCTCACAAGCCAACTCTAGCCTTAATACTCTATACTAGATATCATAGCCTTGTACTCTATACTAGATCTCATTGTTGTGCTGGAATGATATCATATATAATTTCATTGAGAATATGTAAAGTATATTTATTATTGAAACTATGATTATAATGTATGAAACGTAAATGTGAAAGAAAGCATGTGAGATTTTTTGTTGGAGATTCTGAGGATGAGCAAAAAAAATGGTATTAAAATCAATTTCTATGAGTCATGAAACAGATCATCAAAGGATTTAGAAATGATATATTAATTATGGGACCTGATAGTTTAGCAAAAGGAATGCAGATGAATCAAGTAAGCAGAATGGAGATTGAAATCCCTCTGCGGCAAGAATGGAAAGCAGCAAATATAGATTGTCTTGAGCAACCCACAAGGAACACCTCCATAAGCATTACAAAACCCATGTCAAGCTCTTTTCGTACATTTAAGGAACACCTTAATTCATCAACATTATAATTCTGAATGAGAGCTCACCAATGACCTGGTTCATCAAAGTAGCAGGGGAGATATAGACATCACAAAGTACCAGACTTCAAATGTTAAAATGTCCACTGATACCTCATCCAACAGTTGATGGACCACTAGCTAATCTTATTTGGAGTAGCAAAGAATTCCTTCAAAGGATGGTGTGAGCTTCTTCATCACAATTAAAAGATATGTTGCCTTCTGCAGAATGTGATGAAGCTGAAGATAGAGAGTTTGGTTTTATCTGTATTTCTAATTCTACCACATCGAAAAACAAAGAGAAACCCCCTACTTCATTCACCTATATAATAGTGGGTGGAATTCCTAATAAAATCAAATCCTTGAGTGGCCTTGCTAGTGGATGTACTCTATTTGAGTGGGTTGCAAGTTCGGCCTTCTTAGGGTTTGAAAACGACTACTTATTTGTAGTCTTTGTCGAGTTATGGGGTTTAAAGTCCATGATATTATGTTGTTTGATGAGCTTTTCAATTTGAATGGGCTCGTTGAGCTAGTAATCAAGCATTTGTCGAGTTCCATTCAAGTCGAGCTCGAGCTGGGTAATGTTGGAGTCGAGCTAAGCTTGATTTTGGATGTTGCCAGCTTGTGGCAAATTTTTGTGCCAAGCTCAAGCTTGAGATTTTAATTTCGAGTGCGAGGTGAGCTACTCAATAAATATATTGGCCCAGCTCTATCGTATGAATTTCAATTTAAATTACTTATACTAGCAAAATCACAATTTATAAAGGATATATACTAACTTATCACAATTTATAAGGATATATACTAACTTAATATTTTCGATTGAGGGTAAAGTTGAGTGTAAGGTTACAACTAACTTAATCACAACAATTTTACTAAATTTGATAGTTAATCTTTAATGTTTCAATTTTTAGAATAATTTTACAAATAACTCTTGGCAACAGTTTACTGAAGTTATTTGGGCAATGAGTTATTTTGAAATAACTCATTTTACCACTATACTTTTGCCAATACCACATGCCAAATAATGAGATACTTTAATCCAATTACTACCGAATAATACTAAAATACCAAATAAACAATTAATGGTGTCTTTTGGTTGCAAATGTTGATATCACCATTACTATTAGTTAGTGTACTTTACCAATTACAATTAATTACATAACAAGTTTGCAAGTCATACAAATTGATTTAACATTTTGACTAGTTTATTTTAACTTAAGTATATATACGAGGTAGAAAGAAACTGGTTAAAAATTGAGAAAAATATTTTAAAGCAGTGTAATAAAATGTGTTGGTAATGAGTAAGGAGTAAGTTACTCGATGCGCTGACCCGAACAATCCACAGCCCGATCCCCCCATAACCCGCTCGACACAAAACGCGATGAGCCCGCAACCCGATTGAACCCGAACTCGATGAACCCACAACCCGACTAACCTGCAACCCGTTTGAACCGAACCCGATAAACCCGTAACCCGATGAACCTGCAACCTGACCGAACCCAGCCCGAACCCGCCCGATTGACACATATGTTTACTATATATCTGGTACGTAACATATTTACAAATCATTACTATTTCTACCCATAGACTTTTGTCTTATTGTCATTAATATTTTATAGGATAACAATACAACGCCAAATGAGGACAGCAGTGATGAAGAGGAAGAAAGTGGAGAAGAGGAAGATTGCAATGACAACAGTGATGAAGAAAGTGGTGAAGGTAAAGATTGCAATGACAATTCAGAGAACGATTCTGATGACCAAGAAAATGAAGATTGACATTGTGCCCTTTTATTAAACTAGTTCCCGTGTTTTTGGATTTCATGATGTTGGTGTTTCGCTTTTGTGTTCTTTTCTTTTGGGATGTGATATGTTATTGAATTACATTTTATCTACATTATGCTTATCAAAGATTTTGGTTATTTAGAATCTTGTTATTTAATAATTAAATTTAGGTGTTATTGATATTTGATTTTTTTACCCATAAAAATAGCAACGTTATAAATATTTGTTTTTTTTTTGTAAAAACACTATGCTCGTCATAAATATACAATTTGGGATGAAATACAATGGTCTCAAATACCATTAAAGTTCGTCAATAAGAAGATGCATTACCGATGATATTACTACTTATACTGACGACCAAGTTTCATAAAAAAATTATAATATCGTCAGCTTTGTCAAATTTAACATGCATTATCGATGACCGAATTAATTATAGAGACGACATTGTTTCGTCGAAAATGACAATGTCGTCAGTTTCGTCAATGTAAAAATGTTGTACCGACGACCTTACCATCTTTACAGACATCCATTTAACGTCCTAAAAAACGATATCATCAGCTTCGTCAATCTGAAAATACATTACCGACGACCTAATTACTTGTTGAGACGACTATGTGTCATCAGAAAAATAAAACGCATGTCAGTTTCGTCAACTTGAGAAGGTATCACATATGAGATTAGTAATTGGTGCGATGATTACTTGCCGTCGGAAAAAAATCTGTCAATTTCGTCAAAGTCGTATAGCATTAGCAATTAATTGTAGCCGTCACAGAAGAGCTTTTATGACTGCTCTTCATGAAGATTTTTTTGTGACGCTCGTATTTGGAACAGGACGCGACGACTTCATGGCATCGCAAATGCCCATTTGTGATGGAATCTGGCTTTTAATTATAGAATAACCATAAAAATATTAATGCAATGGCATTAATTATGGCAATGCATAGAACTTAGGTTATGAAGGCATGTAACTACAAACAAGGACCAATATACTAGTACGATCTTGACCGAGTAAAATGCTCCCAACTGCGACGGCCCTAGATCATCCTCCTCCGATGGCCATGAACTTGACGGGCAGGCCATCGGACCATGGCGGGCAACAACTGATACCTCCAACGGAGAAAGCTTCAGCCTTGAACTTCAAGGCAGCTCTGTTGGGCACAACGACGACTCCACTAGAGAAAAACTGTCAATGGACCTTCATTGGCGATCGAGATCTCGAATCATTTACTCACCAAGGCCAACCAGCTCTGAAAATCTCACCAGCGCAGAAGGATAGACTATGGCACTATGCCAACCCTGGAGGAAAATGTTGATTGTCCGACTCCTTGGTCGTTCAATCTCGTATTCGTATCTGGTATCACAGCTGCGCTGGAAATGGCGACCAGTTGGTTCTCTAGAGGTGATGGATCTCAACAATGATAGGTTCCTGGCTACTTTTGGGTACGATCAAGGCTACTTAAGGGCGCTCACTAGAGGCACGTGGGTGATATTGGATCACTACTTGATCTTCCACGAGTGGCACCTGCCTTCCGCACATCCGACAAACCACACCGATCGGTGGTAGCCTGGGTAAAACTACCAGAATTGTCGTTACACTTCTATCACAGAGAGATTCTCTTCTCTCTAGGAAACCTCATCGGACGTACAATCAAGCTCGATTAGCACACAGAAAACCGAGAACGAGGTAAATTTTCTAGACTGCTATTGAGTTAGACATGACTAAGCCTCTTCCCACGAAAATATGGCTGGAAAATTTCTGGCAATCAGTGCTTTATGAAAAATTACCGACGAGTTGCTATGAGTGCGGCCGTATTGGGCAACAAGAGGATTCTCTTCAGCGCGCACAGAACACGCAGCTGCTTACTGTAGGGCTACCAAAAACAGAGTCTGCGACTACACCGGTGACCAGCTCCCAGGAACCGCCGGCGGGCTTTGGCCACTAGATGCAAGTCATGCGCAAATCTAGGAGGCAAAATAGGAAAGTTCACAATTCGGGCAATTACCCACAACGACCACAACACCAAATCCGTGCAGAGGGAGAGTCAACAGGGAAAGGAAATAGAGAAGGAAAACGTAAGGGAGAGCAAATCTCGTAGACTAAGAAGGGAAGTCCAACGAGCCAAAAGGCGGTGTTATCTAAGGAAGAGGAGATTGCCATTGGTAAAAAGAAAGCCTAACCTCTTCAAGAATGGAGGCCTATTGGAACAAAAGAGGCCCATGAAGGCTCAGCCACCCTACAGAATGAAGTCAACCCGATGCACCTAGTTACTTAGCCATCGACATCAGGAACAAAGGACTTAGCAATTATCCAAAGGCCACAAAATCAGCAAGGCACCAACATCAGGGTCATTTCGATCCCCGAATTAGCTCTCCTAAGCAAAGAAAATGTAAACCCCAATAATGGAGCATCCTCAGTTCAACATCATTACCAAAAGAAGAAGGTTGTGCGAGACGGAATTCAGGAGAAAACTAGGGGAATCAATGTCAAAGCAATGAAGAAACCGCTTCAGATCAGAAGCCCCAATCAAAGAGTCTCGCCATCTTTAACCAAGCTCTCGAATAGCCCGATTACTCTGCAAACCATTGAAGAGTTTTGCTCAAAGGCTCAAAACAAGGTTAAGAGCATTTGCATGTTGTAAATAGATGCTCCAGAAGATGTTGCTATGACCGAAATCATCCAACCGACAAAGAGAAATGAAGACTCTATTGAGGAGACAGAGCTTGCAGACTTTGAGCTCTCAATTCGCCCCCCCCCCCCCCTCTTTAACCCTTTTTCCCCTGTCTCTTTTGGGTTTTTGTTTTCTTTTGTTTTTTCTTATCTTTCCTATGTCTAATCGAACTAACTTAAAAATTCTTTCCTGGAATGTGTGTGGAGCAGGCCACAAGAAATTCCTTCGTGCTATCATACTGCTCATCGATACTCACAAGCCGGACTTCCTAATTTTGCTAGAACCTCAAATTAGCGGGGATATAGCATATGTAGTGTGCAACAAGTTTGGGTTTGATGAGGTCCTGAGGATTGATGCAGAGGGCAGAGCGGGATGTATTTGGCTAGTATGGAAGAACTCTTTCAAGGTGGATCTGGTGAATGCCAGCAAACAACATGTAACGGTGAAAATCAATTCGGCTAGCAGACATCAATGGCTAATAATGAGAGTTTATGGTAGCCCGCAATACAGAAATCAGGCATTTCTTTGGGAACAACTCATCCAATTCAGCAGTTCTCTTGAAATGCCTTGGCTGGTAAAGGGAGACTTCAATGCCTACAGTCTACCAAAAGAGAAACTCGGTGCCAACTCCCCAGCCGCTCTTCGCATATGTCATCAGTTTGGATCCTAGATCTAGGGGTGGCTATACGGTCCGGTCCGGTTAAATTGGCCCAAATTGATCCGGTCCAGTTCGGTCTTTTTGAAAATATAAGGACCAAAGATTGGATTGGATACAGTCAGGTCTTGATCCGGTCCGGTCCCAATTCGGTCTTGATTTTATATTGGGCTTGTGGGGATTTGAGTGGCCTAAGGCCTGAAAGGGTGAGGACTTGGTTAAGTTTTGTACTAAGTGCAAAGGTTTATGACAGTTTATGCAAATTACCCGTAAGCTTTGGGTGTTGAGCTCTCTTATCCGGTCTTTATCCAGTTTTTGATCCGGTCCCGAACGGTTTTTTACCTCAAATCTAAGCCCAAAGATTGGATTGGATTGGATTGTTTACTATCCGGTCTCGGTCCGGGTTATACGGTCCGGTTTTGGGTAAAACCAAAAAACCCGGACCAAATAGCCAGCCCTACCTGGATCAACCAAGCAAAGCTTATGGATTTGGGCTTTACTGGACCCAAATATACTTGCATCTGAGGAGATTCTCAAGCGACCAAAAAAGCAAGCCAAATTGATAGATCGTTGTGCAACGCTACCAGGAACCACGCTTTCCCTAACACGTCAGTTCAATACCTTCCTAAATTTCAATCAGACCACCTCTCGTTGTTGACTACAGTTGGTGACCTGCATTGCACCATCGGCCCCAGACATTTCACGTTTGAGGCGGTATGATTGACTACAGTTGGAATCATGAGATCAATCTTCAACAAGCTCTAAAGGAAGTGGTCCCTAAACTTCAACAGTGGAACAAAGAGGTTTTCGGGTCCATTCACAAAAAAGAAAATGAGACTCTTGGCTAGACTAAAAGGCATCATTGATCGCCTAGCAAACTCATTCAATGCTAGCCTGCTGAAACTGCTTATTAAACTGGAAGAGGAACTCTACAAAGTACTAGCACAAGAAGAGCTAGTCTGGTTTCAACGAGCCAAGGAGAAATGGCTAGTTCTAGGAGAACAAAATACACATATTTTCATCACCAAGCTACTCGACACAAAAGAAGGAATATAATTATGTCTCTCCATGATATGAATGGTGTTTGGATTGGTGACCAGGAATCTCTCGTCAATATGGTCTTAGATGTCTACACTACTCTTTATACGGAAGATGGAATGCAGTACGAAGACCATATGCCTCACAATGAGTTTCCTACACTCCAACAAGAAGAAATGTTGGCTCTACACCGATCCTTCACATAACTGACATCCATATAGAAATATTCGGAATGAAGCCCTACTCCGCTCCTGGTCCCGCCGGCTTGCAAGCCATCTTCTACCAAAAAATTTGGCCGATCGTAGGAAAGAATCTGGCGAACATGACTGCTAAATTTTTCGAAACTGGAGAGATGGCAGAAGAAACTATGGAGTCAACCCTGATCCTGATTCCGAAAACAAATAAGTCGGAGTCTCCAAAACAGTTCATACCCATATGTTTGAACATTGTAGCTCTCAAGGCAATCACATGTCAATCACCAATAGATTGAAGCCTCTGATGCAAAACTCATTGCCCCCGCTCAAAGTTGTTTTATTCACGGCAGACAGACAAATGACAAATATTATTATTCTGCAAGAAGCCCTTCACACTCTAAGGAACAAAAAAGGGAAAAGGGGAGGATTGATTATCAAGATTGATCTTGAGAAAGCATATCACAGGCGTTGGGACTTCATCCGAGATACTTTGAAGGAAGTAGGGCTGGTTGGTTGTCTAATCAATGGAATTATGTCTTGTGTGGAGGAAAACAAGATGAGGATAAGCTAGAATGGGCAACTATCAGACTAGATACTCCCCACCAGAGGAGTCCGACAAGGAGAATCCCTTTCCCCCTTTCTGATTATTCTTTGTATGGAGAGGTTGGTCCATAAAATTGAACAAGCAGTAGAGGAGAAGTTTTGGAGGCCGCTTTAGCTTTCAAAAAATGGTCCAAAAATTTCTCATCTATTTTTTGCTGATGATCTTGTTTTGTTTGCATAGGCAGAGGGGAATCAGATTGATATCATCAAGACATGCTTAGATGACTTCTGCACCAACTCAGGTCAAAGAATCAATTTCGACAAATCGACAATGTTCATCTCACCAAATATCCGTAGAGAAAGATCTCTTGGATTGAGTGAGAGGGCAGGTGACTTGCACGAAACTACACCACAAATAAAACCCCAACTAGAGACCAAGTTTTTAAACTCTAGTCGGGTACAGTATAGGGCAACTATTTAGATATCGACCCGGGCCGGTCCATCTAACCCTACTTCGGTTGTTGAAATCATTATCTAGCAACAAAGTTTTGGTTTAAAGGTTTGCTAATTGAGATAACAGAAGGCAAAGGTAAATGGTTTTGGAAACTCTTTTGTGGAAGGATCACTCGGGTGTCGCTTCCCCCTAACTACTACCATGATATGTAAATTAGAACGATTGCTTTGGGCACGGTAATTGCGAACCGCAGAGGGATGCATATATGGTCGGAGACCACAATCTCAATTGCTAAACCGAGGTGAGCATGAAAGGCCGTGTCACTCGACCCTCTCGGTTTAGAAAATCGGTAACTGACTTACTCCCTCACTCAAATCAAAGGTCGGACGGTTTAATCGCAATTAACTAATTTGCTTAAGTCAACATTGAGGGTTGCCCTAACTTAACCTAGTTAGGTGGCTTAGAAAGCGGAAGGAAAACCAACCCGATCGAGTCCCCCTTGGAAGGAGGATTTTCCTCTCTAAGTTAGGCTAAGGTGGCTAATTAGATTGCTAGCACCAACATGCACAAACCTAAGGGTGCTAAGCACAATTATGGACAATCCTTTGGTTGCTAATCACCTAAATGCACAAACCTAAAGATGCTAAGCACAAAACATGCACAACCCCTAGGTTGCTAAGCACAAGTGATGCTCTAAAACACAACACCTAACAATGGCCAAGTGTAACCAATGGAAGGGACTGCAGTATAGTGGCTCAAG